TCCTCCTCGTAATGATTGCGGTATTGGTTTCGGTTGTAACCCCTGTTCTGCATATCATTTCGACCATTATTTTGGTATCGATTCCGGTTTCGATTGTCGTTCGGGTAGTCATCCATTCGGTTGTTGTCTTTATTATAGCGAAAGCCGTTCTCTCGGTCTCTGGTGCTGTTCGCTCGGTCTCTGTCGAAGCCCCTGTCGTACCCCTTGTCGCCCCTGTCGTACCCCTTGTCGCCCCTGTCGTACCCCTTGTCGCCCCTGTCGAACCCCTTGTCGCCCCTGTCGAACCCCTTGTCTCCCCTGTCATACCCTTTGTCGCCACTGCCATACCAATCGCCAAGTCTGTCGTTCTTGGGGTTCACCCGTCCGGTGCCCACCTGTCGCCGACCGCCATCACGATCACGATCACGATAGCCGTCTCTCGGCTCATCCGATTTGTTTCTGTCGTTACTATATTCGCGATTCTTTGGTTCAATGACCGGAGGTTTGGGTACGACATGACACCCGGTGCCGAAACTATTCCTTTGAGGGCTCAGTACTATATCCACGTCATCCATCTTATCCTTCAGATCATTATTAATCGGCTTTTTGGGGAACGCCTCGTTTCCCTCGCGTTTGCCGTAATTGTGTTTAGTAGTGGAAGTGAGGGGAACGGGAGATCGGAACGACATCCACTTTTCCGGATTCCATAATCCGTCCGGACTTTGGGTATAAAACTCATCATTAATATCATACCAATGCTTTGTTCATTTGGGGGACGGGTTAGGTGTGTGTGGGTTAGTGATCGGACAGTAGCCTTATAAGCCATCCCGGGGCCCACAGATACCCAACTCGGGCCACAATTTAATGACAAAAAGCATAACCATTTCATACCTATTGAAAGCACTGTCTAAACATTGCGGACGAATACGAGCCGCACATAGCTTTGAGATCGCAATCAATTCCTCCTAAAGACGTGATTATCAATAATACCATTGAAGACAACGAAAGACTAATCAATTCAGTGTTTCATACCTTTGAATACTGATGTCTGGAAGGGTTTGTCGAAACGGGTTTTGTCTTGTCATCCATATCGTCATCAATTTGTCCGTCATTTCCATCGATGGTCTTATCGGTTGTCTGTGTCTTGTGGTCGATGGCATCATCGGAAGCACTCGTTTGGCATTCAATCGGTTCATCCGTTTTATTGTCTTGTATTTGGCGGTCGTTTTGGTCGCAACTGAGACCTAAATGAAGACAAAGACAGTTAAAGACAGTGAAAATGGTGGACAACCGTGTGGTGAGTGGTGTTACCATTACTGGCATTCGCATCATCTGGTGATGATATATAAGGCACTTCTTTGTCATCGTCATCAATGGTATGGATATGATCTGCATTTGAATCCATAGTTCAAAACACAATGCTTTGGATACAAAACAAACCGAAAACTGATTTATAAATTAGAGTCAAATGTTAGTCTGTTTTTTGTAAATCACTTTTGAAATGACTATAAAAAGAGATATTTTTAAAACAAATTATGAATCAAATAATGAATCAAATGATTAACACTTCTTATAGTAATGAATGGATGAGTGGATCACAAAACAAATGTATTTCACGACTATAATGACATTCAATGTACAAATTGATAACAATTAGCGATTTATGAATATACAGTATAATGGCATTCAATGGCTTATATTACAAATTGTGGCGCAAATTGTCTTTTGATTCAAATCACAATTCAATTGAAATGAGTTTTAAGTTTGAGTGAAATTGGATTGCAAAGAGTGTTGTGTTTGGATGTGTTGTGTTGTGTTTGAGTCAAAGCATAGCAAACAAAATGTCACCACTTTTTCAATGCATTCAATGTATGAACACTTGGCTGAAAGTTTGCAAACCAATGCATAGCAGAGGCCTCTCATAGGCATAGGCTTCAGGCATACACTCACTCACCACTCACTCGTACGCTCTCTCATAGGATAGCATAGCATACGATCGCACTTCACATCAACTCTCTCTCTCACTCATTGGCATTGCATTGCATTCACAGTCAAGTCTTCGACAAGAGTTCACCGCAATATACTGTACAATACGGTACAGTGTACTGTACTATACGTGCTGACCATTCACACTACAGTGCACTCACACTCACCAATACACCGGTCTATCACTCATTTGGCATTCATTTCTCACCAAATATGCAGTGATTGTCAGTCAGTCATACAAACATTGATTTGACAACTTTTCAACTTTCAATCCCTTGCCCTATGAATGCAATGCACACACAATCACGTACTCCCGGACCCCTCTGCCCCCCGTTTATAGTATTTCCGCATTCAATACCTGTTTGTTTCAATCCTACACCAAATCTAACCCTTTAATCCTCTTTAAACGTACTATCAATGGGTTTAACATTAGATTTCATGAATACTGCCATTAATGCACAAATTAATCCTTAAATTCATGTCTCAGTAACTGTGCACTGATTTGGCCA